AGTGAGAGAGGGGAATAGAAGCATCAATAATGAGGGAGAATCATTAATCGCTGCCTCCTTCACACCCCCTACTGGGGATCTGCAACCAGGGTATATGCCCTTGTCCAGAATAGAACCTGGGACTTTTCAGTCCCCAGGCCAACACTCTATCCACTGAGCCGAGGGCTGGAATGTGTGTTCTTGATGTTTGTGAGAATGAACCAAATGTAAGTTAAATGAAACTAGTGAAGGAAAAATATCAATATTACAGATTTAAGATCTTGTTTTAAGACAATCCAACGTGTGCAAAAATATGTGAGTATCTCACCTTGATACTAATTTGTTATATATTTTAACATAAGGGGAAAATTCATGCCCTATATATCTTTTTGTCAAATATCTTTATGTATCAATTGTTAAGGAAGGAATATCTTAGGGTAGTTGTAACAATTAAGATAGTTATGCCTGGCCTGCGTGGTTCAGTGATTGAGCGTTGACCTATGAACCAGGAGGTCATAGTTCTAGTGCCAGTCAGGGCACCTGCAGGAGACAACCTATCAATGATTCTCTCTCATCCTGAAGTTCCTCTATCCCTCTCCCTTCCTCTCTGAAATCAATAAAAATATGTTTTTAAAATATAGTTTGTGTCTTCCCACTATATATGTTCATATATGCATTTATTGAATACATAGTATATATTCAATAAATGGTAACATTATTTTTTATTCATAACCTATTTATCTGACCCTATAATGGTAAAGAAAGTGAAGTAAATTCTCTAATTGAACATTAAGCCTCTTAAGTGAAGAATCTTTTGTGAAAAATCTTTCTAGCCATGGCCAGCATGACTCAGTGATTAGAGCATTGGCCCAAAGGATCTGGGGTTGGATTTCCAGTCAAGGGCATGTACCTGGGTTGCAGATTTGATCCCTGGGTCTTGTAGGGAAGGCAACTAATTGATGCATTTCTCTCATATTGATGTTTCCCTCTCCCCCTCCCTCCATCCTCCCTTCCATTCTCTCTAAAACTCAGTGGAAAAACATATCCTAAGTGAGGATTAGCAATAACAAAAAGATCTTTTCAGTATGTGTTATTAACCCAGCCTTGTTAAGCAAAGTATTCTAAACTGTGTATTTGTGTGTAGGGTGTGTGTGTGTGTGTGTGTGTGTGTGTGTGTGTTGCTAATTCAGGGACGTGTTAGAGAGTACAGAGCATTATGTACAGCTGTATGTTTTTCAATGTTTATATTTCTGAAAGCGTGGTAACTCCTTTATCATAAAAGCAGTTGTACCCATTTTACATAAAATAATTCTTTTTTTTTCTTTTTGGAGTCACAATTATAGTGATTGTATCTTACAGGCATTTTATTTATACAATCAAGCCTTAAAAGAGATATCTGAGAATGAAGTATAGAATGAAAGTTTAGGTAGAGAAAGACCAGAAACATTTGCTAAATCAAATAGAAACTTAAATAAACCGGCTAACTCTAATTTAGATGCAGTAATTGTTTCTTCTCTGGAGGGGAAAAAAGATTAAACAAATCTGTAGTGCTATGAATATACTAACAGTGTGTTTTGGGGTCTAACAGGTCCAAAGGACTATCGCTAAGCAGATTCAGATGGTGAAACAGATTGGGAAGGGTCGCTACGGGGAAGTTTGGATGGGAAAGTGGCGTGGCGAAAAGGTGGCCGTGAAAGTTTTCTTCACCACCGAGGAGGCCAGCTGGTTCCGCGAGACGGAGATTTATCAGACGGTGTTGATGAGGCATGAAAACATTTTGGGTGAGTGTACAGCGTGGTCCAGGTTTTTCTAGCTTTTCTCTATTTTTCTGTTAACATCTGCATATGAACTCATCTGTCTTGACCCATTCTGAAATATATAGACATTTTCTTCTTGGCGTGAGCCCAGGGACATTGTAAGCTTCCAAGGGGAGACCTCACAGGAGGCATGACTAAGGCACTTTTGTGAATGAGCAGTGGGATGGACATGGAGTCCTCTCCAGGAAATGCAAATACAATACGGGCATTTCTTCAGGTTGCTGAGGGTTTTAAAGGAGCAATTTTTTTGTTTAAATGTTGTGGAAAGATATAAGAATTTTATCTGAGTTTATAATAAAACTCTGGTTTATTATATCCAGAGTTGATACGGATAATTGATTCCTTTTTATTTTCTCAAGTTAGAAATGACCTAGTTCAGTGGTTGGCAAGCTCATTAGTCAACAGAGCCAAATATCAACAGTACAACGATTGAAATTTCTTTTGAGAGCCACATTTTTTAAACTTAAACTATATAGGTAGGTACAGTGTTATTAACTTAATTAGGGTACTCCTAAACTGGCCTTTGCTAAAAACGTCCTCTAAACTATAGAGGTAGGTACATTGTTATTAACTTAATTAGGGTACTCCTAAGCTGGCCTTTGCTAAAAACATCCTCAATCTGATTGAGGTACATTCACTGAGGTCGACCCCTTCCAACTCGCCCATCCACACTGGTCTTGTATACTTGTTTCATCTATCTCCTTTCCGAAAACCGACTTCTGTGCATGGGCCATGAAGTTTCAATCGCATTGTACGTGTGCGCCCGCATGTGGTATTTTGTGGAAGAACCACACTCAAGGGGCCAAAGAGCCGCATATGGCTCACGAGCCGCGGTTTGCCAACCACTGACCTAGTTGGATCATTCAACTGCAAAGGGTGGAAGTTGATCTGAAGTGTCGCTTTGACTGGGGTTCCTGTTTTATAAGCAGTGGCTTGTGTATGACTATAATACCAGGAGCTGTCTACTGTGAATTGGAAAGCATTTAAATATCCGCAGCTGATTAAAAAGAGGTCATGTTTTCAGAAACAAACTCTTAATTGTTCTCTACCCCTCTTGTTTTGATTGACATTAGTAAGTTCATACTGTGAGGGGCATAGTTAGAAAACTGAATGAAATGCTAAACAAAAGACACCTATGACAAAGCATGGTAGTTGAGAATATGAATTATTCCTGATAATATCCAGAAGACACTTAGCTCCAAATCTTTTTATCTTCTTTTCTTTTAGGGTTCATTGCCGCCGATATCAAAGGGACGGGGTCCTGGACCCAGTTGTACCTAATCACAGACTATCATGAAAACGGTTCCCTCTATGATTACTTGAAGTCCACCACCCTGGATGTTAAATCGATGCTGAAATTAGCCTATTCTTCCGTCAGTGGCTTATGTCATTTACACACCGAGATCTTTAGTACCCAAGGCAAGCCAGCAATCGCCCATCGAGATCTGAAAAGTAAGAACATCCTGGTGAAGAAAAATGGCACTTGCTGTATAGCCGACCTGGGCCTGGCTGTTAAATTTATTAGGTGAGTAAGTGAGGTGAACAAATGCCCTTCTTATGATTCTTTTCTGTCCCTTGCTATAGATTATACATTGTGTAGGTCAGTGCTTCCAGGACATTTAGTAGAGGAGGAATTTTTATTGATTTTGACTTTACTTGGGAGGGAAAAAAAGAAATACTTTCTTTGCAGCACAAAGTGTTTGGGTCCATGCTACCCATTTCTATGCTCATCAGTGTCCTGGCTTCAAAACAGTGTTCGAACGTCATTGGGTTCATAGCTGTCATGAAGCTGTTCAGAAAAGAGGTAGCTAATGTCTCCGATGATGTGGCCAGAAGTCTTGGTAACATTTTAAGTAGGAAAAGGCTTCAGGGAAGATCTACAGATTATGTAGTGATAAAGGCAATGTTGTTGTTTTTTTATCTGATAAAAGAAAGATATTGCACAGGTGTTTTGTGAGAAAGAAACGAATAAACTAATAAACAGAACACAGCCCGTATTCAGCACTATTATACTATCGCTTAACCAATGACTATAACACCTGACCACATAAATCAGCAAGTGCTATAAAACAGGGGTTTTCAGATCCTGATTGGGGAGTGGTTAGGTGGGTGTGGAGTTGGGGGAGCTGCATGAAGTGATACCAGTGGCTTCTACAGCATGGGGAGGAGGAATGCTCCATGGCTGAAGCTCTATTTTGCTTACTCTCTCTATGCAGAGCAGCCCCTTTTATCTTGCAGATGACTTAGTTACAAGAAATGGTCTCTCTGCTTTGAAAATAAAACAGCCACACAAAGTGAGTTTGCAAAGCATTGGCTTAGAGGGATCATCATATACCCACCTCATAAAGAGTAAATTTAGCCCTAACTGGTTTGGCTCAGTGGATAGAGCATCAGCCTGCAGACTGAAGAGTCCCAGGTTCGATTCTGGTCCAGGGCATGTACCTGGGTTGCGGGCACATCCTCAGTAGGGGCTGTGCAGGAGGCAGCTGATTGATGTCTCTAACTCTCTATCCCTCTCCCATCCTCTCTGTAAAAAATCAATAAAATATATTTAAAAAAATAAAAGACTAAATTTAGGCTTCGTCCTTATTAAATTGTTAGATCCTCTTGTGGACTTTTTTCCAAAGATGACTCTGTAAGATGTAGGAAAGGGCACAAAGGAAAAGCCATGGAGGTGATTAAAAGTTTGGAAAATGAAATTCATGAGAAAGAACTAATGAATTTGTATTTTCACCCAGAAGTGAAGACTGAACAGGGGTTGAATAATAGGCCCCCCGCATAGGAAGGTCTTCACCATAAGAGGAAGGCAAATTGAAGCTCTTGATCTTTATTTAAAACAGCGCAGTAGGAAATGAATGGAATTGTAGAGTTAGGTTAGAAATGTGAACCTCCTGCCAATAAAGATTATTAAATCCCCCCTCTCTTTTTGAATTCTTTTTTTTGTTACCTACAAGCTTTTTCAAGACTTTTTTACAAAAAAAAAAAAATTCCCATCTTGCTTCTCAAATTAACAGCCTTTCTCTTTTCCTCCCTGTTAAATTTCTTGAGAGTTCCCAAGAATAATCTGCTTTCACAATCCAGTAATTCTTCATATCTGGTAATTTGGCTTCTCCATTCTCCACTGAATCTCCTTTATGGAGGGACAGCCTTGGTCTTGGTCACCACACGGCTTTCTGAATGTCCTCTCACTGTCCGTGGCGCCTAAGCCTTTCTTTCTCCTGTTTTTGTGAAGTGCCTTTCTAGTCCAGGTTTACCTTTTTTCTCTCTCTACACCAGTGGTTCTCAACCTTCCTAACGCTGCGACCCTTTAATACAGTTCCTCCTGTTGTGGTGACCCCCAACCATAAAATTATTTTCGTTGCTGCTTCATAACTGTAATGTTGCTACTGTTATGAATCGTAATGTAAATATTTGATATGCAGGATGTATTTTCATTGTTACAAATTGAACATAATTAAAGCATAGTGATTAATCACAAAAACAATATGTAATTATATATGTGTTTTCTTATGGTCTTAGGCGACCCCTGTGAAAGGGTCGTTTGACCCCCAAAGGGGTCACGACTATAGGTTGGCAACCCACACGTTGAGAACTGCTGCTCTAGGGTCTGCTCTCTGGCTACTGCTTAAAGGTGTTCCCTACTGCTTAAAGCAGTACACCTACTGCTCTAGGTGTTCCACTAGATTTCCTGCCATATCTGCTTTTCCTTCCTAGTTCCCAGTTTGGGTTGATCCATTTTAAAATGCGATGTGTGGGCCCGCTGGCGTGGCTCAGTGGTTTAACGTTGACCTATGAACCAGGAGGTTATGGCTAGATTCCTGGTCAGGGCACATGCCTGGGTTGTGGGCTTATTCCCCAGTGTGGGGAGTGCTGGATGCAGCCAATCAATGATTCTTTCTCCTCATTGATATTTTATCTCTCTCTCTCCCTCTCCTTTCCTTTCTGAAATCAGTAAAAAATATATATATTTTAAAAAATAAAACATGAGGTGCAGGACATTTCCTTTGTCTGGAAGTTTTTGGTTTGTGCAACTGAATAAATCCTGTTGCATGATCTCCCCACTTGAGCTGGGCCAGTTGGGTCCTCTCTACCATGTTTCTAGGCCAGGGGTCCTCAAACTTTTTACACAGGGGGCCAGTTCACTGTCCCTCAGACTGTTGGAGGGCCGGACTATAGTTTAAAAAAAAACTATGAACAAGTTCCTATGCACACTGCACATATCTTATTTTGAAGTAAAAAAACAAAACGGGAACAAATACAATATTTGTATTTGCATGTGGCCCGTGGGCCGTAGTTTGAGGACCCCTGTTTTAGGATCTGGAGGAAAGCATTTTGTAGTTGCTTCCAATTTCTAATTTTTTTTTCTATGTGTAGCTGCCAGATTTATTTTCTTGAAGCATAATTTTGAACATTATCATAATTTCATCATTTCTTATGGCTTTGGGTTAAAATTGAGCTTTTATTCTGAACACTTTTTACTTTCTCACACCTTCAGGTGTTTTTAACATGCGTTTGTCTTTACCTGAATACCCAACATCCCCTCTTCCACTTTAGATAACTATTGTTATTCTCTTACAAATCTGACTTTAAGTTCATCTTTCTTACATACTCCCATGTGACCCTGTGCAAACTCTCATGACATTTCTCACATTATCGTACAGTAATCATTGACCACTTATCTGTCGTTCACATTGGAGACTGAACGCCATGAAGGTAAAAATCATGGTTTTCTGAAATTTGCATCACCAGTGCCTTTTCTTGGTGCCCATTACTTAAGCGTTGCTTCAAAATTTTGTAAAATAGATAATTGAATGATTTCATAGGGACGACAGGATGAAGGGGGGAAAGGACCTTTTCTTTTAGGTCCAGAGATCTTACACACTCTGGATTACATCCACCTTACTAGTTTTGTACAAGTTGTACCAACTTGTATGCTCTCTTTAGCAAACCTGAAATACTTGCATTTTTTCCTTCTATTTTTCCTCCTGCCTTGTTTTTTATTGCATGATCTATAGATTGGAATGCCCATATTTCTCCATTTACCTTAATCCAATCTCAGAGTTAGTTGCCTTTAAGTCACTGTTGTTCATCCCCCGCTAGAAATAGTGATGTCATCTTTTCTACTCTAATTCCTGGCCCTTCACTTCTCATATTATAATTATTTTAGTACACGCCTCATCTTTTTTACTAGTCATTGGGCATCTTGAGAGCAAGATCCATGTACAAATTAATTAATGTATTTCCCATTCAACATGACATAGTGAGTTACCCATTATAGGTGTTCCAACATCATTTTGAAATAATAAATATTGGCCATATAAAACTAATTGAGAACTCATCTTCTATATAGACCTTAAAACAAATAAGGAAAATAGGTATCTATCATATTTATGGAACTTAGTTCTGCTGAGTATAGGGAAATAAACTGAATAACCTCTAAAATTTCATGCAAACCCTGAATCTAAGAAGTGGAGGGGAACCCAGCCTGCATGGCTCAGTGGTTGAGCATCAACCTATGAACCAGGAAGTCATGGTTCGATTCCTGGTCAGGGCATTTGCCCAGGTTGTGGGATGTATCCCCAGTGTGGGGCTTGCAGGAGGCAGCCAATCTATGATTCTCTCTTATCATTGATGTTTCTATCTCTCTCTCCCTCTTCCTTCCTCTCTGAAATCAATAAAAATACATTTTTTAAAAAAAGAAGCTGCAAAACTTATTTTTTTAAAAAAAGTGGAGAGGAATATTTCAAGGGCTAATTCAGAAATGTGTTTGGAATATATAGACTAGTTCACCAAGAAAGGAAATATTTGAGGATGCCTGTTCAGATGTGCAACTCGATGGCTGTGGAAAGCACAGATCTTATATGGCTGAGGAATCACTGTGGGACCATTTACCATTCTGGACCTCCATCTTCTCTTCTATTAAGCAGAGTTTGCATTTGATAATTTCAGATGCCCTTTCACTTTTATATTCTACTAGTGGCCTGGTGTATGAAATTCACGCACATTAAAAGGGACTTAATTAGAGGAAATATTTTAATATTGCTATTTGCCCTGTCTCTATAATAGAAATGCCAAAGATGAAAGAAAATTAGTAAAATGTATATGAAAATCTCCCTCCAGTCAGAGTCTGGGGTGTGCTGCGGGACCCAGTGTCAAGTCCCTGCCACCCGCATGCTTCTCGAAATCACACGAGACCCAGATCCAGCCAGCCCCGCCCCCATCAAGCCCCGCAGGGCAGGGGACACAGCCTCAGGTCCCCCACTAAGCCCTGCTGGGCAAGGGGCACAGCCTCAGGTCCCCCAGCCCTGGTGCCGGGGCGGGGGGGGGGCATAGCATCAGGTCTCCCAGCCCCAGAGCCTGGGCGGGGGGTGCAGCCTCAGTTCCTCCGGCATGAGGGCACAAGGGTGTGATGACCATTTGCATATTAGCTCTTTATTATATAGGATGTTTGAAAGGAACTTTGGTCTTATCAGTTTTTGAGCCTCACTTTTAAACCATGCTTTACATATTCCTTTGGCTCCCACT